TGGCACCAGCCCCCTTCCATGCTGATCTCAGGGCATGAGCCAAGGTCCCAGGGGACGCAGCAAGGACAAACTGCTCTCACAGGGCCCCGCCAATCACCTCCAGAGAGCAGCACAACGCTGCGCAACCTGGCTGGCCAGGCCACCAGGCGCTGGGAGAGACAGGCACCCTTCTGAGCCCACACGGCTCCGCTCCGGGCTCCTCCTCGGCCCTCTCCCAAGGGTCCCTCTCGCCCAGGAGTTCCCCCCACAAGCCTGGCACACAGCGAGGTTATTCGCAGCAGCCGGTGAGAGGGGGGCATACCCCGGTCCCCCTGGCATCCCCAGGCAGCAAGCCGAGCTCACCCCGCACCGGATGTGCCGAAGGCATGTGAGCACGGCCCAGCCCAGGGCCTCCTGCTACACGTGAGCTGCCTGGCACTGGGGCCGCAGGCCGGGCTCTCGGAGGAAGCCAGGATGGCAGGGCCGGCAGGCAGCGTTCCAGGCCGGGAAGCTCTGCACTCAGAGGTCAGCAAAGGCTATTGCTGGGCCTCCATTAATAGCCATGATGGGAGCCCCAGGGAGCCCGTGGGAAGTAAGCCCTCCCTCTCCAGGGTCTCCAGAGAGCCAGCCAGCCCCAGGGTCAGGTCAGGGCCTCCATCTGCCTGGCAAACCTGGGAGCTGCCCGGAGCGCCCTGCAGCACGCGGACTGCTGGGGGCGCATTGGAAGGCACTGGGCAGCCCCCCTGGGCTGAATGTGTGTCCCCCGGACCTGCCTCTCCCCTGCTCAGCAGGCTCCCAACGTCAGTCATTCCCCTCCAGCTGGCTTAGGGGGAAAAGGCTCCAACGGAGTCAGGTGAGAGCCTGGCTCAGCAGCTGCAGCGCCTAGCTCTGGGGTGGAACTATCCCCTGGGGAGAGCGGGGCCCAGACAGCCGCCTCGCACCCCCCCCCCCCAAGCCTTCCTCTGACACTCCCCGAATGCTTGGGGGGCAGGAGGGGGACGGAGACATCCCACAGGCTCAGCCCCACCAGGCTGGAGCCAAGTGACCAAACCCCACAGCAGGTTCGGTTTAACTGCAGCCAGGCTGAAGCGAAAGGCTGGCCAGGCGGATGGAGGGGGGCACAATGGGGGTGCGGATCATCCCCTCAACAACGGGGAGGGGACGGCTCTGAGGGCGGGCAGCCATCCCAACCCCATGAGCACCCTGGCCAAGCAGCTCATGGGAGCTCTCACTCTGCGGGCTCAGAGGGGCTGGGGACCCCTGGGACCAGGTACAGCTGGGAAAGGGACTGCAACCCAGCTCACAGCAGCTGCCGCACGGGGCGAGCGTCTAGGCTGGAGTCCCATGGTGGGTCGGGACTGCCCCACCCCCTCTACGCACAGAGCATATAGCCAGTCCTGGGAGAGCAATTCCTTCCTGAGCCCAGCTGGAGGCCAGCCTACGCCCTGGAGCATGTGGGTTGAAAGCCGTTATCGGTTAGAGCCTCGCTCCCACCATCACAGATGCTGTTCCAGCTTCCGACAGGCCACCCGCCTTCCCTCAGGGGCTGCTCGGCTCTTGGGGCCTTCTCTCAACTCTCTGGGCCCAGGGGCCTCCTCCAGCCTCCGCCCCCAAGGTTCACACAGCGCAGCGTTCTGCCTCCAGCGCGGGCTGGACTGCTGCTGCGCCCGTCCCCGCACTGGCTCCCATGTGCCCCTGACTCCGGGCTCAGGGGCTGCGTCAACAACCATGAGTCACACAAGGCTATTTCCGATTGCCCGGCCCTGCGGTTCTCCAGGCACCGGGACCCCGGTCCCTCCTGCTGACCCCCCCGCATATTCCCAGGGCGACGCCGACAGCCCCTCACCTGCCGCTGCTCCAGTTCAGAGCTGGAGTCTAACACTGCACAGTGGAGCAGGGCTCTGAACTCGGCCCCTCGCCTGGGTTTTGGCTCCGCTCCCCCCTTCCCGGCAGCACTGCCCCCTCCCCCAGCTCCCCAGGGGCTGGCCAGTACAGCCACTTTCCCAGGGAGCAGGCAGACTGCGGCTAAGCACACAGACCCTGCAGAGCAGCAGGGAGGAGCTGGCCAGGCATGGGGTGGGGGAAACGGCGCTGGGAGCCAACCCCAGGCTTTCGAATTAATGCCCTACCAGGTCCTGAGCGGCTGGCTCAGGGCAGCCAGCCCCAGCTCACTGCTCCTCTGGTGCCACGTGAAGTGAGTTTGACGGGTCTCAGGCCATGACCACACACCCACTGCAAGTACCAGGCTCAGCAGAGCGGCCAGGAGACTCAACTCCCCTTCTGCCCCTCCAGGGCCAAGCCGAGGCCCCACAGCAGGGGATGCTGGCCCTGCCCCTCCCCTGGGGAGACACTGCTCTGCAGTTCGGGGACAGCGGGTCCAGCGTGAGGGCAGCTGAACGCTCAGCAGCTCATCACCGGGGGGCACAGGGACCAGCCCTAGGAAAGCGCTGGGGAATCCCAATGCTGCAGTGATCCATAGGCTGGAAAGAGCAGGTCGGGGTAAGCTACCGCGCTGGACTCGTGTTTCGGGCTCTGCCCAGGAACTGGGAGCCGGCCTCCTGGCACTTGCACAGCGGCACGCCCCCGGGGCAGCTGGCTGGCTCCTGACAAGCCGAGCACACCCGCTGCGGCTCCTCGCCCCACCCTCTGCCAACGCCGCATGGAGAGGAGCTGCTTGTGCCATGCGCCCCCCGTCCCCGTCCCCGTCCTGCGGTTGATTTACTGCAGCAGGTTTGCAGGGTCCCCACTAAGGGCACAGGCCTGCCTGAGCAAACCCGCCCACGCCGGGGGCTGGCCACAGGGCCGCTCAGCCCCTCCCCTGGAGTGCCTGGAACTGGGGGTTGGTTTTAACCTGGGCTTTGGGGGCGGGGATGGGACTGGAAGTTACCTCCCCTCCCTGCCAGCTCCTGGGCTCCACTCAGCCCCACCCTGTGGAAGGAGCAAGGATCAGAGGCCTGGTGGAGCCCGACAGTTGGGCACAGCTCCACCAACACCCTGTCACTGCGACACCCGACAGGACTCGACAAACGCCTGCAGGGCCGTGAGCCACTGACCCTGCAGGGGGGCGGCCCGTGGGCACCACTCCATCTAGGGAAGCCGTGTTGGACCGTCCAGCGGCTCGGCACGAGCCCCCACAAGCCCCTAACCCAGCCCAGATTAATACGAGTCCTTAACACAAAACCCACGACGCCCCCCTCCCCCGCAGAGCCGTTACCCTGCGTGGGGGAGTGCCATCCTCCAACAACTTCACTGGTGCTGTTGCTTCTCCATGGGCTGTGCCCAGATACCAGGGCAGCGGCACTGGAGGGATTAACGTGGGGCGGGCTGCCTGGCAGGGGTTGGTCTGACAGAGCTTTCCACGCTGGTACTACAGTCCCGGCCACTGCTGACCTAGGACCCAGCCCCCTCGCCACCTCCCAGTGCTTACAAGAGCAGAGGGGTGCTGTGGCACAACCCGAAGGGAACCAGGGCGCGGCTCCAGCCAGCCAGCGGGGTCACTGATCCCACAGCCAAGGTCCCCTCCCTGAATGCGCCTCCGGCCCCTTGCCAGGGGGCCCAGCACTTGGCATCACAGCTGGAGACAGTCTCCATGGTAACCGGGACACAGCCTACATCAGGACTGAAGCCAGCACCCTCAGCTGCACCCCAGAAGAGCTGGGGGCACACTGGCCACTCCCCCTTTCCTGCAGCTCCTGACACCCCCATGTGCTAGCCAGGGACATGTGCTGGGGATGCAACAAAGCCCCCCATCCTCCTTACCCAACCAAGAGGAGACAGTTGCCCTGGCAACCCCGGTTGCTATAACAGCAGCACTGGTGACTGAAGGCAGCAGCAGAGCCGGGAAGGGCTGAGCTCTGCACGGATTACACAGGGGGGGCCCTGGGTGGGACCATGACCACCTGTGCAGGCTCAGCCCTGGTCCCAGCAGAAAGGCAGCAAGTCTCCGCCCTCCCCTGGCGAGGTCTGCGGACAAAGGCCTGGCCAAGAGCTGGGCCTTGGCATCGCCGCTGGACCCTTCACCTGCCAGCAGCAACACCAGCCCCACCAGGGAGCAGGGCCGTGCTGCAGGGGGGTGGGAGAGGGCAGACTGGGGAGGGAGCTCCTGGAAACCACCAGCCATCCCCCTCCAGTGCCCAGTCACCCTGGTGCTCTCAGCTCTGTGCGCTGAGCTGGCATCCACCCCGGGGCACACAGAGGTGACGGGGCAGGGGACACACTCCGTGAAGCAAACAGACGCCATGGGGAGCATCCCCTCTCACATGGGGAGCTGCCAGCCCCCCATTCCTCTGCACCCACGGGTGGCACAGCCAGCTCCTGCCAGGAGCATCGTTACAGCCGGGTCAGACAGGAAGGAAACAATTCGAGCCCGGGGAGTCACCCAGCACCCTCCAGCCACCTAACCTGGCTTCCCCGCCGGCCTGGCCTCTCCTACTCCCGGCCCCTTCCGCCCTCACAGCCCAGCACACTTGCTTGCCAAGAACAGGTCTGGGCCCAGGCTGCCACAGAGCCCGCCAGTACAAGGAGAGCCCCGACCCGCCACAGCCGCCTGGCCTGGCCAGGCCAGATCTCTGTGCCAGCCTGGTCCCGCTTCGCCCCTCAACCCCACAGGGCTCAGGCTCTTCAGGGCGGGCACCCAGAACACCTTCCATTCAGCCTGAGCCCAGGCATCCACCGCCCGAGCGCAGCCGGCCAGGCAGCCAGCTTCGGAGCCGGAATCCGACAGAACCGCGGCGCGCCAGACAGAAAAACAAACCCACCCGCTGGATGTTCCCCATCTGCTGGGCTCTGCCAGCGACACAGCGCCCGCGGGAGAGGCCTGGCAGCACTGAGCCGGCTGCGCCACGGGCCCTCGGCTGGGCCATTCCCAGACAGGCAAGGGGAGGCCAGGCTCACGCGGCTGCCGCTCAGAGAAAAGCATCAGGCTCATTACAGCCCTGAGAGCTGCTCTGACACGGGCAGGCTGGCCCCAGGCCAGGGAGACACAGACTCTCCAGCCCCCCCGAAGCCCCCCGCAGCCTTACCTGGACCTGCCCCTTGCCCATGATCTTATCCACAATCTCATTGTTGTCCTTGTTGAGCTTGGTCTTGTCGTAGCACTTCTCGTAGCACAGGATGCGCAGTGACTGTGAGCCCTCCAGCTCGATCTCGAACTCCTGGGGAGCCAGAGGGACGCAGCTGAGCCCATGCCAGGGGCAGAGAGCAACCCTGAGCCACATCCAGCAGGGGCGGGCACTAGCGCCTGGGCTCTGAGCGCACGGCGCTTCAGCCTCATGCTGCACCGGCCGGGCCCTGGGTTCAAGAGAGACCCGGGGGCCGCGCGTCGGGGAGCAATGGCCTGGGGGAGGAGAGGAAAGCCCGGGACTCGACTAGCAGGGGCAGGGCTACAGGTCGGATTGAGGGGTACCAGCGGAGCAGGGGGTGGCAGCCTAGAGCTGGAACGGGGGTGCTGTCTGTTCCCTGGCTCTAGCATGATCCCCTCAGTCCCCTAGCAGCGAACTCACCTCGTTCCACTGGGGCTCTGTCGTGTCCCGGAAAACCCTGGTCTTTGCTTTGCTGACAAAGTACCCGAAGGAGTCCACTTCCAGCGTGCAGTAGAGGTCTGGGGAGAGGAGACGAGTCAGGGGGCTCTAGGGATTCATGCCCGGCTCATACGGGCCCTTGGCAGAGTCCCCAGCCCACAGTCCTTCCCCAGCCAGGGCCCGATAGCCTCGGGGTGCCCATCCGTTAGGACAGAGGCCATCATGAATGCAGGGAGGGCAGGCAACCCACCCCCCAGCAGGAGGGGTCTCTCCCCTCTCCAGCGGGGCTCTGCACCCCTGGGTGGGCACAGCCGGGCCCCAGGGCTGGGGCTAGGCCCCGCTCACAGCCAAGCCCCAGCAGCACAGAGCTGGCACTCACTGGCAGACTGTTTGAATCCCTTGGCAGAGTGGACGATCACATGCAGGAAGCCGTAGAGTCCCGGGGATTCGTCATCTGCGGCAGAGAGAAGCACAAGGGTACGTTAGGGCTCACAGCCCTGGCAGGCCCATAGTCTGGGCCCATTGCCGCGGGCACCGGGAGCCCCAGCCCCAGCCTTTCACCTCTGCAGTCGAGCTGAGGTGCCGGGCTCACAAACCAGGGCAGCATCTCAGCCTTCACTCACCTCCCTAGCCCCGCGGCCCAGCAGGGGGTTGCAGGTCAGGAGTGAGGGGTGTGTACAGGGCACGTTCGCTGCCAGGGTAATGCAATGCCAGCTACTCCCATCCCGGCAGCGAGCGGCGTCCCCCCGGAGGGCAGCCCACCGCACCTGTCCCAGCCGGGATGCCCAGGGTTCAGTCACTGGGCACCTCTGGAACTGGCTTCCCAGCATCACCAGTCAAACCTACCCAGCGAGAGACCTGCAGACGGGACAGCTGCCCTGTGCCCGGATCTCTGCCACGGACAGCAGAGACCAGCTTCGCCTCGTGCTCTCGCGGGGGGTAGGAGATCAGATACTCACACTGCGCAGCAGGGACCCCTGTGGCCATGAGAGGGGATTCCAGGTGGGGTGTCAGGGCTCTCCGAGCCGGTGTGCAAGGGAGGGGGTCACCGTGCCCGCCCAGCTGCCTGAGCCCCCAGGTTAGCACCCCTCCCTGCCGGATGGGCACGTGGTGCCATGGGGGCTCTTGCCCAGCAAGGCTGTCCCAAGCCAGGCCAGCTGGTTGGCTCTCACAGCGCCACCTAGTGGCACACACACTCCACAACCATCTGAGCCTCAGCCGCACCGAGCGGGAGCGAACAACCCTGGCATCAGAGCCCTGGGTGCTCTAAAGACCCTGAGCCGCCCAGCCTCGCCCAGGGGGCAGGGACTGTTACCCCGAGGCCCAGCAGGACCTGCCACAGAACCCAGGAGTCCTGCCCCCCAGTGCATGGCTGGGCACTTATCCCCCTACCTGGGGGATCTTGGCTCGGAGCTGAGCTGACGCCAGCAGGCAGGAGCGTGAGCTGGCCCCACGCGCCTGCCCCTAGGGGATTTACGGCGTGCGCTCTGGCACGCTCCGCGGGGGAGCAGAGCCAGCCCTGCAGCGTGCTGGCCTGAGCCACTCACCGTCCTTGTTGCTGGTGACGGGGATGTTGTGGACGGTGCGCAGTTTGAAGCAGGACCCCGTGAGCACCTGCAGCTCCACCGAGCTCAGCACGAAGGCCTGGAGGTCTGTGGGAGCACAGAGGGGGTGGTGAGCGGCTGCGGCCAGGGGTTCACATGTGCTGCCGCTGGCTGCATGCGCCACGGGACCTCCCAAGGGGCAGCCCGGAAAGGCCACGGGCACGGTGGGGCCCCACACTGCTACAGGGAGGCGGCATGCCTGGACCCCTGGCAGGAATGGCTTCGCAGCAGCGAGCCCGAGCCCCAAGGACGCCCCCAGGGAGCCCTCAGAGACAGGCTCCTCCCGCAGGGCCTCACCCTTCTTCTGCAGCTTCTGGATGGCCTCCCTCCACTCCGACCGCTCGTAGTCCGAGGAGAGCAGGAACAGGTAGCTCTGAAAGGGACAGGACGGCATCAGGGCAGCTGCCTGGACTGGGACCGACTGAGCAAGCCGAGGCCCCCGGTGCCACAGGAGGTACCGGGCATCCCCAGACAGGCCATGGCGGGGAGAGATCCCAGCCTGCACAGAGCAGCTTGGCCAGCCGGAGGGGAGCGCAAGAGACGCTGCCCGGTGTGGTCAGCGTGCATCGCCCCGCTCAGCGCCCAAGGGCAGAGCCCTGGCCCCGCACGGACACCCCACTCCCACCGAGGGAGGGAAGTGCCTGCGAGGATGGCAGTCTGCAGGGCAGAGGGACCAGGCACGAGCGGCACATCCCACAGCGGCCGGACGAGGGAGCACAGTCCTGGCCAGGCCAGCTCTCCACCCTCCCCAAGCCCCACCAGCGACTCTGTGAGCCGGGCGGCCGGCAGGCCCCTACCTTCCCGTTGCGGTTGTGGATGCGGAAGGGGATGGTGGGGGAGTTCAGGAGCAGCCAGAACTCGTTTTCAAACATCTTCTTCTTGAGGCGCTCGATGGCTCGGCTCTGCCCCTTGCCAGCTTTCTGCGGGGGGAAAGCAAGAAGGTGGGAGCCAGCCGGAGCCGCCCCAGGCAGCGAGCGGGACCCACAATCCACACAGGAGTCCCTCTGCCTCCCCCAGTGCCAGCCAGGGGAGGAGACAGGGAGGTGCCAATGGGGCACAGCAGGCCCATGCCCTGCCCCGGGCACAGGGTACTGGCTCTCAGCTTAGGGAACTGGCCATGTCCCTTCAGCAGGGGGGAGCCCCCCCCCCCCCCGAGCAGAAGTAGGTACAAGAGCTCCCTCCCTGGGCACAGGCGCAGCCCCCCAGCACCGCACACCAGCGAGCCCAGTCCCCCGGCTCACCTCCTTCTGCACCTCGCTCTTGATGGCTGAGATCTTCATCTTCATGTCCTCCAGCTCGTGGTCCGGGATGGTGTGCACCTGCGGGCAGGGCTCCGACTCCTCGGGGGCAGGGAACACCAGGTCGGCCAGCGGCACGTACCACTTGCAGTCATACTGCTGGTGCTTCCTGCAGCGACAGGCCCGGGTTGAGCCCACGACCCCAGCACACCTTGCTGTGCCCGGAGCCCCAGGCCACCCAGCCGCTCCCTGCAGCTCGCACGGCTCTGCCCCTTGAGGGCAGGTCTACCCAGCGCCAGAGATTTCCCACCTCCATGCCCCTCCCCGCAGGGGGAAGGACCCGCCCCATGTCCAGGCGCAGACTAGCCCCTCGGCCCAGCCCCGCAGCCTCTGCTCCAGGCAGCACAGCATGGGCCACCCCGGCACTCGGAGGGTGCTGCCCCCTCCTCAGCAGTCTCCCCCCGCCCAGGGCGGCACCCGCCTTACCCCACCGCCGTCTTCTTCAGTTTGGCGCAGAGGAGGACGTCGGTGAAGAGGAAGACATGGCGCAGCTTCCGCGAGCCCTCAGACAGCTCCACCAGGAAGCCATCCTTCACCAGCTGCCGCGTCTAGGAGAGAGCCGGGCCAGCCGTGAGTGGGGCGGGCCGGGGCCCTCAGCCCACACGGCACACAGGGGCAGCCAGGCCTCCGAGCTCTACGGAGGAAGCAGCCCTGGCTTCAACCGCTCATGTCTAGTGTGTCTGAGACAAAACCCGGCTGGCCTGGAGAGAGACGGAGCCCCAAGGAGGGGCCCTGGGGGGCTGGCTGGGCTCAGGCCAGAGAGAAGAGCAGCACCGGACCCCGGATATGGGCTGCAGCTGGAGGGTCTCTTCCCAAGAGCCAGCTGAGAGCCCAAGGTTTCCCCAGCAGGGCAGGGATGCAGGGCAGCCCAGATCCAGCAAGGGCAGGCTGAAGCCAGGAACCAGCCCCATTGCTGCAGTGGGGAAGGCTCCCCCCTCTCCAGACACTGAGGGCCCCAATGGGCATGGCTAGGTGGGGGGGCTAACGGATCATACCATTAGCTGGTGAAACCCCTCCACCCCAGCCACGTCACCACCTTAATGGGTCCCAGAGGGGTTCCTGTACCACACCGGGGGGGGGGGGTTTAGCAAAACACTCCCAGCCTCCCCTCCCCCAGTAATTGGAGATGCCAGCTGGCACTGCTTGGTCCCTCAAGCCCCAGCCCCAGAGGGCGGCCCTGCTCGGGGATCGGGCCCCTGCTCACAGCCCGGCATACCATGGTGCAGCTGCCCCTCCACATAGGGGGGAAGCACATCTCCCCACTCCTCCATGGGCCACGCCCGTCTCCCCCACCCGGCCTCTGTTCCAGCTGGGAGTGGGGGCAGCTTCCCCCGGCAGCCCTGCCTCACCTCCCCCTTCGGAGTGGTGACTGCCGTCCTCCGCGGGTCGATGTCCTCATTGATGCTGGACAGGAAGTTCTGGGAGATGCGGAGGGCATCCTGCAGCAGCGGGTAGTCGGGGTGGTCGGCCGGCGTGTGTTTGAGAAGGTCCTGGAACGGAGGGGGTGACGGTGAGCAAGCCAAGGCAGAGCCAGTGAGCCCCCCCGCGGCAGGTTAGTGGCTAGGGCCACACTGGGCCCCTAGCCAGAGCTCACTGCCTAGAGACCCAGCAGCAAGCAGGGCCGCATTAGGAGCTTGGAGCAAGGCCACAAGGGGTTAATCCGCCACAGCTTCCTGCTCCCTCCCCCGCAGGACTAACCCTCAGGGTGCAAGGACCACCCCCCCCCCCATCTCGGGCAGTGCCCCCAGCAGGGACGGAGGGAAGGATGGGGGCAGCGGAGGAAGCAGGACACGAGCACAGCCTGGCACAGGAGCCCACCTGAGAGCTGGGGCGATGCCAAGGGGGGCCTTGGAGTGTGTTCCCCTGCCGCTGCCAGGGCATGGCCCCACGCCAGGACCCTGGTGGGTGGGGCTGGCAGGAAGTGGCAGGGGCGAGCCGGAGCCATACTCACATGCAGTACCAGGGTGCTCCGTGTAACACGGTCGATGGGCTTGTACAGCAGCGCTGTGGGGAGAGGTGCCAGCATCAGAAAGGTGCTGCCCCTGGCTCAGCCCCACCCCAGCCCCTCGCTGGACAGCTCCTCCCCATCCACACACGGGGTCTCCAACCATCAGCAGCTCCAAGCTCTGCCGAGCCCCCAGCCCAGCCAGTCACAGCCCACCCCGGTGCCTTGCTCAGACGCGCAGACGGCCACGCGTGTCTGCAGCACACCCACAGATGGGTTCAGTCTCCGCGTGGGCCCCAGGGGCCAGGCGGCACTCTGTGCCCCACACAGTTTTGATTCCCTGGCAGGCCGGAATTCCCGGTGCCACCGGCTGGGAACGTGGTGCGGGGCCTGGGATCTGTGGGAAGCTCGAATCAGACACAGCTCAGCCCAGGGCCGTGAGCTTTCCGCACGCTGATCTGCCAGCGCACCTCAGTGCTGACCCCGCAGCCCCTGCTGTGTCACTCCACCCCGTGCCAGGGGCTGCAGCAAGGGACTGGGAGGGTACCCGCGCTGGCTTCGCCTGTATTACCAGGGAACGCCACCACCAGGGCTAGGCGCTGTGAGAGCCCAGCCTGCTTCCCGTTCTCGCTTCTCCCCCTCGGCCAGTGGCACAGCCGCGTCAGGTTCCCCTTTTTCAGCCCGCTTCGCTCTCCACATGCAGACCTTGTCCCAGCTCAGCCCCGCCGCCCCCAAACCCATGGAGCCGTGCCATCCACGTCCCGAGCACAGAACAAGCCTTGGACTGGTCTGGCTGCCAAACTCAGCCAGGGGAACCTGGGCCTTTTTCACAACAGTCGTGTTCTCCCTGGAGCTGAGAAACCACCCAGGGACGTGCTGCCCCGGGCACTCTATGGCCCCAAATCCACACCACCTCCGGGAGTTCCAGGTCCTTTCACCCAGTTACCGCACTGGCCCCAGAGCTCCCGCACCAGCCACTCCGGTTCCCTCCCTGAGACCCACCGGAACCAGGCGGGGAACTGACCGACCTGGCAGAGTTCCCGCTGTTACCAGTGGCGTGCTGGCTCGTGGGAACAGGAGAGCTCTGTGCACTGCTCCCACGAGCCAGGACGTGGCTGGTTGCACTGGGACCTCAGCCGTTTCCGGACAGAATGGGACGGTGCAGGCAGCTGCTGCCCCTGAGTTACGACCCAACCCCTAAGGGGGAGGCGGGGACCTGCCCCTGCAACCTGCACACCCCCTTGGGGCTCAGCGTTCACTGGAGAGCCTCTCAAGAGCCTGATCCTCCCCACACCGTGTGAGGGCCCTGGAGGGCTCCAAGCCCTTGTGCATTTCACTCTTAGAAGAGATGTGCGCACGCAACTCCCACAAACCCCTCCCGGCCCCTTCCCAGCACAGCCCGGCAGGTGACTTGCATGACTCCCCAGTCTATTTATACCCTGAGCAGATGCAACTGCATTCTCCCTTCCCCACAACCCACTTCCCCCGGCCCAGAGCACGTGGAGAACACGCTCGGAGCTGCCCGAGGAGAAGGAAACCTGCTCCCCTTTCCTGAGGCACTAGGACGTGGACACCTGACCAGCCAGCAGGGCTGGGGAGCTCGGGCTGCTCCCAGCCCCTGGGACAAGGACTCCACGCCAGGTGAGCGTGACCTCTGCAGAGGGAGGTGTAATGAGGTGCTGGCCCTCCCAGGCAGCTGTGCCCCCACCTCTCCAACAGCAGGAAGCCCAAGCACGGTGGGGTGTGGGGAAGATGTAATGCACACAGCCAGCGAGGCGCCCCCTCCCCCCCCACGGCACCCACTGGCTGGGGGAAATGGGGGCCAAGAGCTGGGGGCGAGCGGCTCGTCTCCCCTGGACTCGCAACATGCCGAGCCCAGGGCTGGCACATTAAAGCCCCCGCTGGCCCAGCCGCTCCCCTCCCAGCCTCCCGCAGCTCAGCAGCAACAATGGACCCGCCTGTTGTCACGGTGAGGCAGCCCCTCCATTGGAGGTGATCAGGGAGGGGTGTGTACTGTGTCCACCACCTAAAGAAAAGAGCACCAGGCCAGGCAGGAGCCAGATCCCAACCAGGAGCAGGCACTGGGGAGTGGGACAGGTACCACGCCCCCCCCGGACTCAGAGCCCCCACTGCCAGCCCCGCTCGGCACTAGCCCCACGCGAAGGTCAGACGTTCACTGAGCGTTTCATGAGCACATGCTGGCTGGGACAGCCCAAGCCAAGACAATGGGACCTGCCCAGCCTGGCACAGACCCACCCCGCTGTGCCAGGGCGCCATGGGACCCTCCCCAACTCCTTCCCTCTGCCCTCCACCTCGCCAGCCCCTTGGGCTCAGTGATGATTTCACAAGCCTGACCGAGGGGTTCTGGCTTCTCCCCGACACCCCCAGGTGCACCCCATCCTCCCCTCGCTGCTGCCGCTCCCGGGAACAAGGCTGCACGTGCCCTGGTGGAGCACAATCAACGCGGCCCTTCACCGCCCAGAACAAAGAAACTACCAACTTCAGGCAGCAGAGCACGGCACCAGAGGGAGAAACCCCCCAGCACAGATCCCCAGGCCCGGCAGCACTGCTCCCAGGGGCGACACGCGCCGAGAACACCCCCGACCGGGCTGCCTGTCTGTCCAAGGTGGGCGGGACCCTGCGGAAGCCAGGCCAAATTCCCCCTCGGAGTCACGGCGCCCCCAGCGGCTCTGCCCCACGCCCCGACTCACCATAGGTGCAGTTACAGCAGAGCCGGACGATGAGGAGGATCTCCATGGCAGCCCCGGCTCCGCACGGCCATTGTGACCGGCTCCCTGCCTCCCCTCGGCAGCTCAGCCCGGCTGCAGCCCGGCATCAGCACCTCAGCGAAGCAGGGGGAGGGGAGGGGGCGGGGGGCTGCCAGACGACGCTAGCATCCTAACGAGGGGAGCACCGGCGCCGCGCACGGGCACACAAAGGGCTTTCCGCTCGCACGCGGGAGCGGATCAATAATGCATGCGTTCAGGGCCGCAGACAAAGACGGAGAGCCCCCTCCCCACAACGCATGCACGTACCTTCCATGGTGACCGAGGTGTGGTTCTCCTTGGAGTCCTTGGGGCCCTTCACTTTCAGCTCCTGCCCACGGGAGAGAGGCTCGTTAGGAGGCTTGGAGCAGCAGCCTGGGAGGATGGGGACTTGCAGGGCCGGGGTTCTGGGTAGGTGCCTGGTCCAGCTGCCTCTGCTCTGGGGCACAACAGAACCCCCTGCCAACCACCTCGGGCTCAGGCACATGCAGGCCAGAGGTGCCCCCAGGGCAGCTCCTGCTCCGGCCCCGCGCTGCTGGATGCTACAACAGAGCCAGATCCCCCAAGTGGTAGCCAGCGCTGGCCCAGGTCAGCCGGGCCCCCAGCGCCGCTGTAGCTCCAGGGAAGGCCAAGGCAGAGGGGGAACAGCGGGAGCAGGGCTGCTCCCCACCCTGCATGGGGGTCCCGCTGCACCCCAAGTACACGCACGATGCACCCCAGGGTGAGACAGCGAGTGCCAGAGGAAATAATGAAAGACTCCCCCAGAATGCCCTGCAGCGGCCCAGTCCTGCCCCGTGCAGGAGGAGTTCAGGGTTCAAATCCAGTTCCACACTGGGAGCGACACTGGAAATCACACCTCCTAGCCAGGAGCTGGAGGGCCTGGCTCTATCAGCCAAGACCTGAGCCCTACGGCCCGGACACAGCAAGGAACAGCCCTGCGCCCTGCCCAGCCTCCGGGAGCACAGGGAGCCAGGACTCGGCAGGTCGGGACACCGCCAGGGTCTGCCATTCGCATGAGACACGGAAGGGGCACCACATCCGCTGGCAAGTGCTGCGGGGGAGTGGGCAGGTCGCTCACACGACTGCGCCAGGCTTGGCAGGCAGGGGGCCGGGTCTGCCAGAACCAAGTGGGTCCGAGCTACGTCTCAGTGAAGCCCGGCAATGGGAAAGGCCGTTGCCCACAGGCTCCCACCACTCCACCCCCAGCCGGAGTGCACCTGCGCTGGGAACAGACATTGGAGCCAGCCCAGCTCCTCCAAGGATGGCCCCAGCACAGTGCAGAGCCGGCCCAGACAAGGGAGAGCTCGTCCCCCATTCAGAGCTCCGAGGGGCTGCAGGAGGGAGCCCCCAACCCCAAAGCTCAGGCTGGGAGCAGCTCAGGCCCGTTGCTATGCCCCGAGAATGCCCAGCGGGCCCAGACGTTGCCGTGTGCGGCCTGGCATTGGCCCAGGGAGCTGCTCTCTAGGGACACCTGCCCGAGTGCCCGCAAGCTGTTGCTATGGCAGTGGGTGCCTCATGCCACTGAGCCAGTCAGTTCTCTGCACGCGTGGGCCAGTGAGCTCCCCAACCCAGCGGGCAGGGGAGGGACTCCAACCTGACCCCCGCAGAGCTCTCTGCCCAGAGCCTGCAGGTAGGGTGACCAAACAGCAAGTGTGAAAAATCGGGACGGGGTTGAGGGATTGGGGGGGGGGGGGGGGGGAATGGGCGCCCATATGAGACAAAGCCCCAAATTTCAGGACTGTCCCTATAAAGTTGGGACACGTGGTCACCCTACCTGCAGGGGACATGCTCCATCCTTGCCCCTTGCTCTGCTCACACCGGACCACAGAGAGCGGGATCAGCAGCCAGAGCCGCACTCCCACGCCAGCCAGCACAGTGGGGAGAGCAGGCTGGGTCCTGCCCCTGGGAGCCGTTCGGTGCCGCGCGAGCCCTGCACCACGCCGCCACCCAGCAAGCGTGGCCAGGCGCTGCACCAGAGGCTGCCAGCAACCCCCCCAGGGGCCGGGGAGCCCCGCCCCGCTCACCTCCGAGATCTTCTGGAACTGGTTGTTGCTCTGGCTGCATTTCTCCGCCGTCTCCAGCGCGACCTTGTAGTTATCCACGAAGGCTTTATACACGCCGAGCTGGCTGGCCTGGGGGCGAGCGGAGGAGGGGAATTACCCACAAGACCTGGCAGGACGCGCCTGGGATGGGGCCGTCTCCTTTGAACTTTGTCTTCAGCAGTTTCCATAGCAACCTGAGCAGGCAGCGCTGGTTAACGGGCAGGACGCTCGGCTGGCCCCTCTCACATGCCTGCCCAGCTGGGGCGGGCGAGCTCCTCCTGGCCCCGACACCCAGCACGCTGCCCTGGGCGGGGAGAAGGGGCGCCCAGCCGGGCGCTGTAACAGGACCCCAGGTGCGGCCTGGCCGCTGGGGTGGGCAGAAGCAGCAGGCTCCATGTGTGCCCGGCTACCCCTCCCTAGGCTGCTCCTCTCCCCAGCCTGGCTGCTTGGGGAGATCACTGACTCCCGGGGCCCCCAGAGGAGCCTGCAGGAGACACTCATGCCCACCAGCCCCTGCTGTGGGCACAGGGACCTGGGAGGTGCCCAGGCAGTGCTAGGCGAGAGCCGATTGCCAGGGGCCAGGAGCCAGCCAGGGGCAGAGTTGGAGGCCTGGGGAAGACAGCGGGGCAGGCCTTAGGCCTGGTCTGGAGCACAGCAGATGGACTCGGGCAGCAGCAGGGTGAGCGTCATCCCCACTGCCCACAGACATGCCACCGGCTGCCAAGCACGGCCCCCAGCCCCTCCCCACAGCAGCTGGTACAGGGGGCTCCCCACGGGACGGGGACAAGAGGGCCCAGGTAGAAGGGAGCTTTCTCAGCACAGCCACTAACAAACCAACCCCTGGCGCACCTGCCAGCCTGAGAACAGGCGCTCGCTGCTGCGTGAACCTACAGAGCAAACAGGAGAACCTGGAGCAATCAGCCCCTGAGCTACGGCTGCTTCCCAGGAGCCTCTGTGCCAGGGCCCGGCAGCCCTCCCACCACACAGCCGTGCCAGCTACCTAGCAGCAGCCAGTCAGAGCAGATTAAGGCACAGCTTCCCAGGCCCCAGCTCCGGAAGCCAGGCCTCTCAGCAAGCAGAGAAATCAGTTCCTAGCCCTTTGCAGTCAGGAAGTAAGATGGGACCTGTGAGCCCCGTGTAACTGACACAGCGACACCTGCCTGAGTCTGCCGAGAGCCTGCACCACCAGCTCTGAAGAGGGAAGTACTCCCCCGCTGCCAGTGTAACCGACACAGCAATGCTGGTAACTCCAAACTCCACTGGCCTGGGACCCCCACCAGCTCCTGACTGAGGCTCCGTGTGACAGGAGAGGGTCCAGTGCCCACTCCGCGCCCCCCGCCCCACCCGGGAACCAAGGAGACCTGTTGTTCTCTGGGCATGGGCTCTATGCGGTGCCAAACGAGGGGTGGAGCCACAAGGAGCCTGGATTGCCATAATCCAGCCCTGCTCATCTCCAAGCTCAGGGGGCTTTGCCCATCACCGGGGTGCTGGAAGGAGACAGACCAGAGGGAGAGTGCCCCAAGCCATCGCTCGGAGGGGCTGCTGGCCGAGCATACCCAGGGTGCGAGCCCGCTTGGGATCAGAGCAGCGACTGCAGCCTGCGCATGGCCCAACCTGGGGTGAGCTGTCGCAACAGCCACCTGGCTCAGCGGGGCCCAGACCCCCACCCAGAGGGGTTTGCAGCCACCTGCTCCTGCTCCAGAGACTCCCAAAGCCTGCTCCCTGTTCTTCCAAAGTGCGCTGGGACGGCCCAGCCAGAGCCCACAGCCCCACTCGGCTCCCCGGCACCAGGGAACAGTGAGCAGGAGGGGAGACTGCACACTGCGTGGGGCCTGCAGCCCCCTGGGCCACCCCCAGCCAGCCCACCCCAGGGCTGCCCCACACAGAGCTCTGCCTAGGCTCGCACCTGGGAAGAACACCCTGGACTCAGCTCAATCCCTCCCTTCTCCGGGCAGCGTCTCTATGGGCGAGGAGCTAGAAGACAAGCCCTGCCCACGCCCCAGATCCCAGCCCTGCCCAGCCACCTGCAGGGGAGCCGAGCTTACCAGCTTCTGGAAGAGGTGCCCCAGGGTGACCTTGCTGTCCCACTGCTGCACCTTGGGGCAGAGGCTGTCGTAGAACTCCTTGTGGATCTCGTAGATGTCCTGGATCTTGTAGAAGATGGTCTCGATCTGCTGGATGGTGAGGACAGGCTGGGAGGTGGTGGCCGTGGCCTTCAGCGGCTTCATGGGCTGCGGCGAGCAGGGGAAGCCAGCGTTAGAGCAGGAACCTGCCAGAGAGACAGGCCAGGCTCGGTGCCTGCCAAGGGGGCTGGAGCAAAGCCACAGACAGGAGCTCAAGGGCCCCCTGACTGGCATGACGTGGGACAGCTGAGAGCCGCCCTTCTCATGGCGGGATGGGGGGCAGCCCCTGGGAACTACAGGTCCCAGCATGCAGCACAGCCTGCTCCAGCCGGGGTGTTGCATGCTGGGAGGCCGCCCCCTGTGGGAAACAAGGGGTCAATGTTCAGTTCTGGCACTTGCCTGCCAGTTTGGGTCAAGCTGGGTGAGGAGTTTGCCAGGGTCAAGCCCCATGTTCCCTGGGATGGGGGAACAGCCACGCAATGGGCAATCTCAGAGCAGGAAACTCCTCGGGCTGGAACAGCAAGGGGGGCTGCAGGTCGGGAGTGAGGGGCACCGGCAGATTCGGTGGGGGGAGTCCAGGGCTGGGCTACCAGGGGCTGGTGGGTCAGGATCCAGCCACCCCTCCTCTCACAGATCTGCAGAGCCCCTTTCTAGCCAAGGCTGGTGTGGACACGGCTGGGAGCAGGAGAAGGGGGCTCGAGTCCCCCGCCCCGGCGCTGGGGCGCTGCCTGCGCCGTGCCGTGCCGTGCAGGGGCTGCAGACGGCAGTTTCGGTTTGCGTGTCCGCACAGACTTCCCTATTCCACCAGGAAGGGGAAGGCGGGACCCTGCCAGCCCTGTGCATTGCGCAACACGAGGGCGGCGGGCTCACAGGGGAAGGACCGGGTGCAAGGGCAGTGCCACCAGGAGGTGCAGGAGGGCCCAGGAAAGGGACGGCCAGGCCTGGCACAGGGTGCGACGTGGAGAGACGTCTGGCTGCCCACGAAGACGTGCCCCAGCGTACATCAGCCCTCGCCCTGCAGGGGGCGGTGGGGAACGGGCACCTATGGGTCAGCCCCCATCCCCCAGATGCAGGAGTTACATGCTTGGTCAGGCCAGGCATCCCGGTCCCTGGCACGGGGGCGGGCAGGACGCGTTTGCATTAGCAGCTCTGACCCCAGCAGCCAGGAGGGGACAGAGACCCGCACCCACCCCAGCCTCGGAGGGACTCTTCCTTCTCCACCTTGTGCTGCTGCTGGGACTCTGGTTCCCCAACCCCCAGGCAGCGGCACCCCCAGCCGCCCACCCTGCTGCCCACGAGGGGCGGGACAGGCTGCCTGGGCTGGCTCCCATTGCGAGTGGGGCTAACGTTAGAGACGCATCCCCCAGCCGGGATGCTCCCTGTTCTGAAGGGAGCTGGGGGCCGGTCTCCAGCCAGCCTAATGCCCGCTTCCCCTAGGGATTCCCGCCTGCAGAACCTGCTGCGGCCGGGGAGAGGGGAGCCCAGCACTGCTTGAGGGGGACGGGGAGAGACCCCGGGAGGGCATGGCCTCGTGCCAGGAAGCACAGGGCTCAGTGCCGGGGACTAGCCCTGGCAGAGGGGCTGGGTGCCCGCTGGGCCGTACTCACCAGCAGCAGCGCCTCCAGCTGGTTGATGTAGATCTCCTCACTGGCCAGGAAGCCCGAGAGCACCAACTTCCGCATCTCCAGCCCTTTCCCGGCATCCCGCTCGCCCTGCATGACAACAAGGAACGTCAGGGTCTAGGCGCTGCAAGGGGAACCCCCAGGATCCGCTCCCAGGGGAGGGGCTCTCCAGAGGGAGGGAGGCTGGCATGGCCAGGGAGGTGCCTGCCAGAGCCTGGTGCCAGCGGAGCAGCGTCAGCCTTGGGTGGGGTGGGAAGCCCTGGGCAGAGCTGGCTTTGCTGCCCTCCCTCCTCCCCAGCTGGCAGGGTCCCAGCTCCGTTGCTGGGGCTCCTGCGGTCTCCCCCACAGGCCTCTCACAGGGCGAGGCCCATAGCAGCCAGGTATGTAATGCTCATTGCCAGGTCTGGGCCAGCTGCCAGTGGCTCACTGAGCCCCGCCCCCCTTGGGCATGTACCAGCACCACCCTCTCCCTTCCCCGGGCTCCCTCCGCTAACGCCCGGGCCAGCGCTCCAGCTGGGCTCCCGTCCTCTTCCCACCCCCCGCACTCGCCCTGTGCCCGGCCCACTGTCCGAGGGGTGGGAGTGCTTCTCAACACAGGAGCCGGGCTACCCCAGGGCAGCTTCTGGTGGCCAGCCTCCCGGCTTCAGCAGCCCTGCGTGCCCCCAGGCCCTGAGGACAGCACCAGACCAGGAACCTGAGGCAAAAGCCAGCAGCTACCATGTCCTTATCCGTGGCTGGAGCCTCCCAGCCTGGGGCAGTGAGGGGTGGGCCGGGGCCATGCCCAGAGGGCTCTCTGGGCATCGGGATCCTCCTGGTTGGCCCAGGACTGAACAGGGCAAATGGCGAAGGCCAGCAAGGAGGGGAACACACAGAACTGGCCGTTTGTGCCCATACGCGGGAGGAGTGAGACAGCGCCCAGCAGGGTCCCCATGGCAGCCCTCCATCACACCCTCACCCCACGCTCCACCCAGGCCAGCGCCCTCTGCCTCGCTCTCACGGCCTCCTCAGCCAGGATCCGGCTCCCCCCAGGCCTCTGAGCCCGAGCAGTGCACCCCCCCCCCCCCCCCCCGGGCTCCAAGAGGGCCCTGGGGCTGCCCTGGCCACGCAGAGCCAGGCTGGGCGAGTGATTTCTCAGGGGCTCGGCGCAGTTCACACCTGTCAGCATGAAGCCAGGGCCTCCGCAGGGAGCTGTCCTGCTCCCAGTGCCACTTTCCAGGCAAGACCCTGTGCGGGAAGAGTCCGAGGAGCATCCCACCAGCTCCCAGGCGCTAACCCTGGTGTCCCGGCCGAACGCGGGGGGGCAGTGGGACCAGTCTGATCTGGATTGGCAGCGATGCCGTGCACAGCCACATGCAAAGCAGAAGCGGCTGCATCTCAGCCCGGCCCTGCCGTCAGCAGCTCCCTACCCCGCACGCCACATGCATGGAGATCCGCAGGGCCCCCCAGCTCTTTGCCCCTCTGCAGAGGGTGGGGAGGGGCCTGCACCACATAGCCTAGCCCCAGTGTGAGGCAGGCTCAGGGCTGCTGCAGGGGCTGCTCTGGAGGGTGCTGGAGGGTTTGCAACACTGGCGATTTCCTGAGCTCAGCCTGTGAGGAGACAGCGACACCCCGCTCCCTCCCCCCCCGGCTGGATCCAGCATTCGGCACCGAGGCAAACCCTTCCCAGGAGCTGCCTGGGGGCCCCTGGCCATGCAGCCTCCCCCACAGGGCCACAGACCCACCCCCCCAATCAATCAGTGCCCTGCAGGCGCCCCACTGAAGCAGCCGCGTAGGAGTTCGGCCTTCGGGGTGCTCCCGTGCAGCCGGCGGCTCCCAGCCGGGACCAGGAAGGCTGGCATGGCTGGGGGGTGCATGGCAGAGCCTGGTGCCAGAGGAGCACCAAGGAGCCAGCTTGCCCACTCCCAGGCTGTCCTGCCTCAGCCGTCACTCCCCTGCAGGCAGAGGGGCCCATGGAGCGGACCAGGGCCTCCCCTGCCCCGGGCTGGCACCAGCGGCTGCTGTCGTGACACCCACGGGACGTGGCTAGCACCACTGGAAGCCACAGGCAGGAAGCGCTAACCCGCCTCAGAGGGCCCAGACCTGACACCGTCTCCTCGGCCATGGGGGAGGGCAGCTCCCCTGCTCTGTGAGGTGGGGGCCACGAGCCTCGCTGCCCTGCTGATGAGGGGGAAGCTCCGTTTGCTGATAGCCAGATACTCCTCCCCCACCACGCAGCACCCTCTGCTCCCTGCGGCCGGGGGGGACCCAGCTCCCTGGGGGGGGAGAATTCTCAGTTCCCAATGGACGGGCCTGGATCACTGCCAGGCACCTCTTCTAGGCCTGTCTCCCAGCTGGGCAAGCCCCATTGCACCTGCCTGTGCCCAGCACCCCCAGCCCCTCCCTGCCCCAGACAAGCCCTGGGCCTTTAAGGCAGGAGCCGGCTGAGGCCAGAGCCGTTTCTTGTGGGTTTTTAGCCACTGATTAGTCACAGGCTTTCCTGCTTCTCCGGGGCAGCCCCAGCCCCGCTCGGCTGCCTGCCAGCCCCGCTGCCCATGCCAGGGCCGAGCAGGCGAGTGCCAGCCTCGGCTCTGGGCTCCAGCACCGGCACAGACCCTGCCCCACGAAGCCTGTATGGGAAGCCTGGCCAGGGCACTACCTCCAACAGGCTGCCCAGGGAGGCAGGGCCTGGAGCACTGGGCCCTGCCATCCCCTCGGGGGCACAGGAAGGACAGAGGAGGAGTGGCACGGCGAGTGGTGGCTGCCCCCGCTCCGTAGGGAGGTCCAGGGCCTGCGAGCCCCCAGCCCTGGGACCAACAGCTCTGGCCCTGCTTTACCGAGGGCAGCAGCCAGCACTGGGGACATGCCCCAGGCCACAGTGCATCCATGGCAGAGCCAGGGGCTCAGAGCAGGACCTGGCCCAGTGCCCTTCCGGAGCAGGCAGCAAGAGGAGACACTGCCACCCGGATACGTAGAGACCCCCAGCCAGCGCCCGACCCCAGTCCCACGTCCACAGAGGCCAAGGCTGCAGCCCCAGGGCCCTGCAGAGCCAGCAGGCCCTTTGCCCCATCCAACGCACCCCGCCAAGGGGAGGGGCTGCCGGGTCCACTGGCACCAGGGCTTGGCTGGGCTAGTACCGCACGGCAGCCCTGTAGCCAGGGATGGGATCTGCCCCCCTCCCCCAGTCATCAGAGCCCTAATCGCCGTCCTCCGAGGGAGGCCAGGACGAGCATGGGTGTCACCGTGCCAGGCTCCCTGCCCTGCCCCCCAGCCTCGGCCCCAGACACCCCCAGGCTCCCTGCCCTGCCCCCCAGCCTCATCACCAGACACCCCCAGGCTCCCTGCCCTGCCCCCGAGCCTCAGCACCAGACACCCCCAGGCTCCCTGCCCTGCCCCCCAGCCTCAGCACACCTCACTGCTCTGCCCGGCTTGTGCGCTGAAAGCTCCTGCACTGGGAGGTGCTCCTCCCCCCCGCCATGGCAGGGACGGCAGGAGACAGAGGGGCAGGCGCCATGGCCCTATTAGAGGAGGATACTTCACTGCCTCTGCCCCCAACCTCCACCCCAGTGACTGGGGCAGCTCCCCAGGCTAGGGCTCAATGCTACGGAGCTGAGCACCCACCACAGAGGTGCCACGAGCCCCCGGCGCCACCCACAGGCGCAGATGACACACAGCTGGCACTGAGGAGGACTCCAGACGCACGCCCCCCCAGCCCAGCCCAGCGCCCCCCTCCTCCTCAGGCGGATGTGTGCCCACCTTCTCGGAGGCCAGGAAGGGAGACCCCAGGCCTGGGCTGGTGGGGGTGCCTGGCTCCGAATCCTCTTCATCCTCCAGGATTTTGTCCAGATACCCTATGGCCTCCTCTTCCTCCTCCATGGCCCGCAGAGCAGCAGGAGGCCAGAGGGCACGGCCCGCAGCTCCAGGTGGGCCTACTCCAGCGGGCCAGCCTGGCCCGATTCAGCGCTGTGAGCTGGCCGCAGCCTGCTGCTGAAAGGAGCCATTACGGGAGTCCTGCCTGCGCCAGCCAGGGCAGCTTGGCCCCAGGCTTCCCGGAGAGGAGAGGAAACCACGGTCCAGGCAGCCCTGAGCCTGCACGAGGCTGCGGAAACGCCAGGGCTGTCAGCACAGGGGCGAGGGGCCAGGCTGCTCCGACCTGCTTAACCCCTTCCCGGCCCCTGCCGTCTGCACTCCTCCAGCCAGCCCCGCTGCTCCGCCCTGCCTCGGCTAGTAATGCACAGGAAATGAACGTCTTGCCTCGGGAGGGGGGGGGCCACTCCCTGGCGTGTGGCCAGCGCCGCGCGCAGGACCAGGGCTGGCTGCTCTCTAGAGCGGGAATTTCCAAGGCAGGGCAAGTGTTTGGGGAACCAGCTTCTCCACTGTGAGCTGCCACAGTCGCAAAGGGACAATGGAAGCAGCGTCCAGGCGGGGAAGTCAGGCTCCAAGCGCTCTGCTCAGCCCTGGAGCTCTGGTCTCACAGTTCCCCAGGGCCCAGCCTCAAGCCACACACAGCACAGGCTAAGGGGTGATGGACAGTCGCACCCCAGCATCAGCCGCTGCCTGGAGAGGGCCCCCACCCCAGAGCCCACGGAACTGTCCCACCAGCCCTGCCCAGGGGCTCTCTCCTCCACCCTGCCCGCTCCTGGGCACAGCGGCGGCAGAGCTCCCTGGCCCCGCTGCACAGCACCGGTCGCGTGGCTCTGCACTGAACCGCAAGAGCAGCAGCTGCCTCCCGGCACAAGGGAGTCTGGGAGGGACGTTTCGGTGCCTAGCAGTGGGGATCGTACAGGATGGGACGGGGACGGGAGAGGGCGAGACAGGGTCACTCAGACCTCCCCCTACAGGGGATCAGGCCTCGTGTGCAGCCTGGAGGCAAGCGCTGGGCAGGATGGGATTGAGTAGCCGGGTAAATCTAGAGCAGAACTCTGGCCCAGAATGTGCCTGGCCAGCCCTCCCAGCCACGGAGGGAGCCTTGCAACCCAGCCCCGGTACCCCTCCATTCCTTCCAGCAGGGCGTTGACTCTGAACCCTAATGATGTGATCAGTGCAGAACTGCTCAGCCCCCAGCCAAGCTGAGGCAGCCCCGCCCCCCTGCTGGATGTTGTGGCAGATCCTGGGATGGGGAGCGCAGAGTTCAGCCGCTGAGGCCTTTGCCCCTGCCCAACAGGAGGAAGCAGGAGAGACAGCTGCCTCCTGGATACCAAATCCACCTCTTGTGCCTTCCTGAGTGCCCACAACGCCATCCAGCCCCCGCCCAGCTCCCCAAACCTCCAGGGCCCCAGTGCAGCGGCTGCTCAGGGCTGAACCCGGCAGCACGAGGATCACACAGGCAGGGGGCAGTGAACGTAACACCAGTGCCAGGGACTCCGGATTGACCAGACTGGGGAGGGGGCAGCCTCCCGCATGGCCTGGGCGCACCGGACCTCAGCTGGCCACCAGGAACAGACTAGGCAGAGGAGGGTGGGGCTTTTCAGGCTCCCAGGGCCCTGCAAGCTGGCTGTGGGCTAAGGACGTGGGGAGGGAGCTTCACTGCCTCCACCCGCCCCCGAACTCCAGGAAAAGGGGAAGCTGAGGTTGACACGCTTTGCATGTGCAGCCCTATTGTCTTCCTCCACCGCTCCCTGCGGCTGCGACACCAGTACTGAGCTGGGGGCGGGGACTGACCAGGGCGCACTGGGGGTTTCCAGAGCCCATGCCTGGCCCGTGCCCTTCACGTGGGTCAGGACCGGGACTGGGCTGGGCTTCAGCCCTAAGGAGTGGAGGTGCCCCAGGACAGGCCCCTGTGCACAGACTTCAGAGAGGGCCAGGGGTAGGGGGAGCCAGTGGGAGATGGTCGGGTGGGGGGGGGGGGGGCAGTTCTCACCCAGAACCACAGCCCCCTCCTTTCCCTGTGCAGCAGCCCAGCACACGGAGCCCACGCCTCACGTGCCCAGTGAGAGGAGGCTGCCCCGGGGTATACGGGGCGGGAGGAGAGAAGCCATGGCCCAGCAGCAATGCCTGCCTGCTCCCCACGCACGGGAAACAGCAACGCGCTCAGGACAGGGCTCAGGGCCCGTTCGCAGCTCCTCGAGCCCAGCAGGAGAACAGACTCTCCTCCCTTCCCAGCAGGGCCGAGCTACCCCCCCACCCCAGCTATAGGGGACTGACACCACCCCAGCTCCTCCCAGCCCCTAGCACAGCCCCCTCCATCAGCGGCAGCTGCAAATCACCCAGCCCCACTGGAAACCCCTTTCAACCCCAAATTGCCCCCCGCATCCAGAGCGATGCCAGCCCAGGGGCTCCCACCCAGCTGGGGGTCCTCTCGACTGAGCCCCGTGGACAGGGGCCCTCGGGTCCCCCTTCTGCAGCTGCCGTCGCTCTGAGCCGAGCCCGTGTGGGAAGAGGAGAAGCCGAGCGCGAGTCAGCTGCCTGCCACTGGCAGATCCCAGCCGGCCCGGCCAGCACGCAGGCCCTGATTCGGACGCTGGGGAGGCAGCTGCAAAGGGTTAAAGCCACCAGCCGCAGCATCCAAAGGGCACCCAGCTTAGCCTGGAACTGCCCGGCCACAGATAATGGGATTGAAGGCAGAGCCAGCGCTGGAGCCTGAACGTCTCCAAATCCCATTAGTGCCGGAACGGCTGCGAAGGGAGCGCACGGCAGAGACTACAGCCCCAGCTGGGCTCTCCCACTCAGCAGCCGGAGAGGGGCACACCCCGCTGGATGCCCCCCGGGGTAGGAGGGGCCAGCAGCGTAGCTGCCAGGAGAGCAGGGCACCTGTGGGAGCAGATCTCCAGCACCTGTGCATCCTACAGGCTGGGGCTCTGCGGGCACCCATGGCACCGTATGCAGCATGCCCCTGCCCAGCCACGGGATCAGGGCTAGAGCACGCGTCCCTTGTGCAGTAGCCATGCCACGCAGGCAGCAGCTCTGCCCAGGGGCTGTGCTGGGCACCGTTCCCTTGGGTGTAACCGGGCCCGAGCTCCCAGGGCAGGCCGTCCAGTGTGGGAGCAGGGCGTCCCTGGGCTAGGGAACAACCTGAGGCTTTGTCCTGAGACACCCAGGCTCAGCAGCTAGACAGCTGCACCCAACCAGGCCCAGCCCAGCACAAGGCAGCTCCCGTGCCCAGCCACGCCCAGGCCCCACAGCTCCCCACCCCTCCAGAACACCCAGCTCCTGATGCTGTCAGGCAGCGCCCGCAGATCAAAGAGACAGCCCCCGCCCCGTCCCACGCGTATCCAGCTGCCCGCTTCCCACATTCGCTGGCTGCGGCAGTGCCGCCTGGAGCTGCCCACCCCGGCCCCCGGGGCTCTCCCTCCAGGACCTCCCCACAGGGCCAGGGCCCCTTTGCCGAGAGCTGGCTTTAGCCCATAAGCCGTGTGGGGAAGGAAGAGCACCATGCCCATCTACGGACAGTAACGTGGGGCAATGCCGGGGTCCTGCCGAGGGGCAGCCCCAGATCCAGGCCCAGAGTAACACCATTCCTCCCACGTTGGGGAAGTGGAGACATCCATGCTTCGGACACGTCATTAAACCCAGCCACAGGGCCCTGCTCGCTGATGCCACCTGGTGGGGAAACAGCACCAGCCAAACGACTCGGGCCGAGCTCTGAAATCCAAAGCTGGCATCGAGACCCCAGGCAGGCAGGGGCTGGGTTGGATTCGATCCAGCTCATTCCTGATGCCCCTTGGCACACGCCACCATCTGCCTTTCCCTTCTGCAGATGGGCAGTTTGGGATCTGGGGGCATCGCCCACCCAGGGGCTCCCCCGTCTTTCTAGGTCCTCCCCCCAGCCTGGCATCTCACCCCCACCAGGCAGGGGGCGGGGAGGAAGTCATGCTTTCGCATTCACTCCTGTTCCTTCTGGGATTAGACCTTAACCCTTTCAATGAGACAGAACCCAGCCTTTCCTGGCACTGCCTTGCCCTGAACAAGGAGTCCCAGAGCTGGTACACAGGCCTCTCTGGCCACATGCACCTCACGGCACGGCCACAAGAAACTGGTACCCTCAGCCTAGCATGGCCTGAGGAACAAGTCCCATGCTCCAGGGCACAAGGGGCCCCATTGCTGCAGGGTCAGGAAGGCTCTCGCACCCCCTCCATGCACTCAGCATCGGACCAGGGCTTCATCTCATGCTAGAGCGTCAGGCATTTGCCTTCCAACCCGCTGCCGAGAAGGTGCTGGGTTGGTGCGTGTCAGTGCTAAGGAAGCCAGGAAATCAGGCTGCATGGCTTGTTTGCCAAGAGCCATCAGAGCCCCCAGAAATGTTTGGGAAGATACATGTCACGCCCCCTGAGTCTCCCAGACGCTGGCGCTGCCCAGAGCGTGGCAAGAGCCCCCCCCCCCCCCCCCCAGCCACCCCTCCCCGTTTCTCGGGGTTTCCCATACACAAAGAGCCCTGGTCGGAGTGTCTCTTTAAAAGGTTTTTTTTTTCTCCCAAAGACGCTTGCTTGAAAATTACCAGAAGCCTTCAACTGGCCCAATCCCACCCTCGGTCACTAGATGGCGCACGCAGCCCAGGAGAGAGGACGGACGTGCCCTGTCAGGGAGCTGCAGCACAGAGCTGGGAAGAGGCACTGGGGTCCTGCCTGAGCAGTTCCAGCCACAGCAGCAGAAGCCCCCTACCCCTGCCCCACTGGCTCCCACGCCAGGCCCTGACACCGCACTTCAGGGGTCAGGAAAGGGGGGCACGTGGCCACTGCCCTGCACCCCTGCCCTGTACCCCCAGCATGCTCAGCCAACAGGCATAACTGCCCCCCCCCCCCAACAGCTGTGCCCCTGAGTCCCTATCCAGTGAGGCAAGATGGGGGGCAGAGAGGGGTTCCCACTCCACTTCACCCCCTGCTGGCCCCAGGAGATGTCCCATAGCTCTGCAGAGAATCCCAGAGCGCCTCTAAAGAGCACTGAAATGCAGCCGGTTCTGGGGTGGAGAGCAGAAGCTGGATGCCCTGTACCATGCGGGGGGGGGGGAGGGGGAGAAGGAGGCCAGAGACCCCTGCACTCCTCTCCTCTTAGGGGCGGGGTCCATGCAGAGCAGCCAGACTCCGCTCTGCACAGTCAGCGACAGGGAGGGCTGCGGGGCTGTTGACAGCCCTAGGAGCTCTGCAGCAGCTCCTCCCTCTGGGGATGGCCCTCTTGGCAAGCCATCCTCACCCTTCACCACAGCAAAGCACCAAGGAAGGGACGGGCCGTGGCACTAGCCAACTGAAGCTGGATACTCGCCCTGCCCCGAGCCA